TCTTTTCTCTTCCCTGAGAAGCACTAGTCTACTGAAAGTACATCTTTTTGGCCTCTGGTCTGGGAGTAGAGGTTATCTTTGTGAAAACTGCCATAAGCTGGAGGCCTAGAGTTTTGAACATTTCTAGGGAGGGAGGAAGACACTGAAGTGAGAGAAAGACCATAATGGAGGTGAACATCATTGTTTCGGGTTTGGGTAAGGAGCTGCTTGAGGGAGATGGATGGTAATGGTCCTTTCCGGGAAGCCAACCATTTGGTTTTTCTTCCCTTCCCTCCTTTCCCCTCCCTTCCAACCTCCCTCTTTGTTCCTTACTTCCCAAGTTAGTAGTGGCCTTGTAGCTTCCATACGAGTTGAAGAAACAGAAGTGGAAACAGAAGAAATAAGCCGGGGAGACCATGAAGGAAAAAGAACAACATGAGAAAAATTGAAAAACTAAAAAGTTTAAAATTTATTAGCATGAGAACTCCCACAATTCCTTTAGACTACTTTGATAGCCTCAGGTTAACACAAAATTTCAGAAAGTTGTCTCAGCAAGAACTCAACTGAAGGGTGAAGCAAATTCTAGACTGGGAGAAAATTACCTTCTGATTCCCACAAAAGCTTAGAAAACAAATAACAATGGGAGATGAGTTGTCAGGAGGAGACAAACTGACTTGAATTCATCACGGTCTTTCCAGAATGTTGATCTAAGACACATTTACAGACAGGCTGCTGATGCTGAAAGGCTGAGGTTTTCAAAAGCATATTTTAAAGTTACTTCAAGCATATGAACATGAGAGGTGGGACTGACTTCAGACTCACAACACAGAGTGGCATCTTCTAGGCCAAAGTGGTTTGAACTCAGTTCTCCATTCATACAGGGGAGAAATTTGTCTGGCCCAAATTTCCATGGAGTTCAAAATTGCTGTGAAAGAATAGCCCAGTGGAAACCCCAGAAACCTAGACTGAAGGCTGAGATCTCTGTTGAGCTGGCTGCACAATCTCTGGCAGGAAGTCTTCCCCTTGACAGCTGCAGAAACACCTGATTAGACATTAGTTTTCTATGTGGTTGGATGAACAGAACTGTATATGGCCAAATGGTTCTTTCTAACTCAGGAAAAAGAAGGAAGACAGCAAGGAGTTGAGATGCTGAGCACAAGAAATCAGGCAGCTAGTGAATAGCCAAGAGCTCATGGGACAGCATATTATATAATATGTATGTACATGTCTACACATCAAGCAAGAATGACATAATAAAGAAAGAGAAATAGGGGGCAAATGATTTTGGTATAATGTCATGTCCTTTAAGAGTTCACAACATGGGGACTGGAGAGATGGCTCAGTGGTTAAGAGCATGTTCTGCTAGCACCCACATCAGCCTCTTACAAATGCCTATACTCCTGCTCCAAGGGATACGATGCCCTCTACTGGTCTCTGAGGGTACCTCCACTCAGACATTCACATACCTTCACACAGATATGCACACATAATTAAAAAGAAAATAACATATGTGAGAAAGAAGCTGTGGGGATGGGAGCTAGCCTGAGTCTGACAGTCTGCTCAGTAACAAGGATTTTCTGCATTTTGACTGTGTACAGATCAGAAATATCAACAAAGAACAGCACACCACAGTATCAGTTCTTCTCTTAGTCTGGTTTCTCCAAATGAGCAGTAGACAGTGGTTATAGGGGCAAGTTCTTTTTTAAAAAAAGTTTATTTTATGTGTATGTGTGTATTGCCTGCATGTATGTAAGTGCACCGGAGTCACACAACGCCCACAGAGGCCAGAAGAGGGCATTGGATACTCTGGAACTGGAATAACAGATGGTTGTTGGCTGCCATGTGGGTGTTGGGAACTAAACTGGGGTCTTCTGCAAAAGCAGCCAGTGCTCTTAACCACTGAACCACCTCTTTAGCCCCAAGGGCAGGTTCTTAAGAGCAGCTTATTATCTTCAAGTCTTAGAAGACAAAATAGAGAACTCATGTTTTAAAGATGTTAAAGTTCTCTTAACAATTCCCAACTTAATTGTTTTCTCCTGCACTTGTATATTGGGAGGTGGGAGGAGGCTGTCTATATAGCTACAGCTTGCTACTTACACTGAAGGAACTTTCCATAAATCAAGATATTCCCTTGGAAAAGAAGGAAAAGCTGATTTATAACTCTCATTTCCGAGGGTAACAGTGATCTTGCCAAGTATTCAGGTTCCTCTTATGATTCTACTCATTTTTATGGAAGTCTTATAGCTAAGGCCCCTGGGCCATGGGAAGGGAAGAAGAGGGGGTGGGGTTCCCACAGAGGCAGCCTCAGCTGGCCATGCACAGCTCTACATCCCTCCAGCTGGGCTCGTCCATCAGGCTTGCTTCGGCATTCTTTCAGCTCCTCTTTGGCCCCTCTTGCTCTTCCAGTACTGGTCTAAAGCTGACCAGTTCCTCACATACCAATGGAACCATTTTTCTAGGAAGGCGCTTGCTGCCTCCCACCTCCCTTGGAGGAAGACCCTGACTCCCCTCTCTATATTTATCACATTTGATTGCACTTCTGTAGTGGAAGAAGAATTCAAAGATCCAAAGGCAAGGAAAAAAAAAAACCAAAACAAAAAACCATTCACAGTTCACTGATAAAGTCCCAGCTCTAGTATGGCACAGAGGAGACAGAGGATGCTTCACCAATGTGCCTTGAGTTGAACAAAGGGGAGAGAGGAGAGAACAGAAAAGGAGCCTGGTCTGCCTGCATGGCTGCTCCTGCTGAGGAATCGATGTGGACTAACCAGCTCCATGGCTGCCACAGCAGCCACTGGGAATTCCCGTAATACTTTCTCAGAGGGCATTTCTTCATGGTCAAGCATCAGTACCAGATGATAGAAGAAGGAGCTAGCCCTGTTTTAAGGATGGAACAATGGATAGCCTTCCCCAAGAGGCTGGATGACTTATCATCCTGGGTAGTGGGAAGGCAAGCTCTGACACCCAGGCATCCTGACAGCCAGGGCTCCACTGTTTCCTGCAGATATGAATTCTTCTAAAAGGAATGTATCAAGGCTTTTCTCTTCCAAAATTAAAGAAATCAAGATTTTATTCCTGTATTTGATGGCAGAGGCAAGGATAAAATATAGCCACTATTCGGGGCTCTGCTGATCCAATTAAGATACTGCTGTGGGCTTCTCGTTAAGAGTTTTGAACTGTCCTGAGAGAATTATTAAACTTTGTTGTATTGCAGTTTGTTTGGATGTAAAGATCTAACCTAAGAAGGAAGAGGAGTAAATGACTGAAGTTTGAAGCTGTCGAGGGTGACACAAAGAAGCTCACTAGGATAGCAAGGACCGGAGAAGCCCCTCTCTTTAGAAGTCATAAAATTTGGGGTATGAAAGCTCTAACAGGTCCCGGTTGCCTCATTATGCTTAATGACATGGTTTCTGGAGGACGCAGGGTATATACGGCAGCCAGTCCAGTAACGAGCCATGTTGAAACACAGTGAGCTGGACCAGCACCTGGTTGGAGGTCACTGCTGATCCTATGCAAGTGTTCCCTTCACTGTCCCAGGGCTTATCAGGAAGGCCTGGGAAACTTCAGGCCTGGGAGGCTTGGGAGGCAGTTTCTCCTCTGTGCCTGATAATGCACCTTGCTGAATCTCATTCTTTCTTTATATTTAATTAGCCCAGGGCCTGCTGAGCAGTAGGGAAGTCCTTTGAAGGCTAAAAACCTGCTCCTAGCCCAGTGGGTTGTCAGACATGAAGCAGGGCAGTAGGTAATGCTCAGGCAGAGCCTCATTTCCACAGCCAGCCTCTTGAGGTGCCAGCCCACAGAGGCAATTGGGTGAGCAATTGGTGGGTGGTACTCACTGGGTCTGGGTGGAGCACTCTACTAAGCTCTTTGGATCCCCGAGGTACTGTTATCTCCAAGTTACAGGAAGAGAAATGCTGTGGACTTCTGTCCAGGGTCTCTGTAGCCCTGGGCTAGTGATCTGTTGACTGACAGATGCCAAGTGTGAGCACATGCCAGGGCCAGTGGGACAGAGCAGGGACCTAAGGGCCACCTGTGTAAGGAACAGTAGCCGATGCTAATGGAGTCCTGAGAAAAAGCACACACAGAACCTGAAGTTAGCAATTTAAGATCTTCATTACTATCAGAAGGGTACAGAAGCTGAAGAAAATTCAAAACAAAACAAAACAAAAAACTTGAAATGACTGGAGTATTAGAAAGCTGAACGAAGAGGGTAGTGTGAGCTCTTTGTAGCATAAGAAATATGCATTACTCCATTACTAAGCTGTTCCCAGAGTCCTGTGCAGGTTCACATTGTAGAAAAATGTATGACAAAATATTAATGTTAAAATTCCCATTTCCCTTTGTTTTTATTTAAAAGAACAGATTTTTTTTTTTTCTGTTAAAGAACTTTCATGTCAGCCAGGTGTGGTGGCATACACCTTTAATCCCAGAGGTAGAGGCAGCGGAATCTCTGTGAGTTCAAGGCCAAAGCCTGGTCTATATAGTGAGTTGCAGGCCAGGTGGGGCTACAGGGAGACCCTGTCTCAAATACCAAAAAAATCTCTCGTGTCAGATGTCTTCTCACTAAAAATAATGTCATGTTTTAATAATATTTTACATGGAGGACTGTAGAAATGGCTCAGCAGTTAAGAGTACTGGTTGTTCTTGTAGAGAACCTGGGGGTTTGAATCCCAGTATCTGCTAACAATAGTCAGTCACACCAATTCCAGAGAATCAGACGCCCTCTTCTGGCCTCTGTGGATATTGCATGCATGGGTGCATGTACATGCAAGCAAAACACTTACACACACAATCAAAATTAAAAATTAAAAAATAAGATTTTAGATGGTGTTCTAGGAAGAAATGAAGTTCCTATCTAAATATTTCAAGTGTTGATTCCTTTACAGCAAAACTAAGTGTAGTTAAAAAGTTTTTCCAAGGGCAATGGTTCTAAGTTATAAATACAGGTTTCTAAAGCAATTGCTCATTAGTTGGACCTAAGGACTAAAAATGAGATGCCCCAAAGCTAGAGCGTGTCTTACCTTGAGAAGTTGAGGAAGTGAACGTGTCGTGTGAATAAGTAGGGCTGTTCCGCAGTGCTTATATTCTTAATCAGCTCCATCTATTAAAAAAAACCACAGAATTAGCATACACAGGACTCACTCCCTCAGCCACATTAGGCTAAAGGTCATCCATCCACTTTCTCTTACGCTTAGTCCCTCTGCTTTCTTCTGAACCAGGGCCAAACAGCTGGACTTGTTGCAATAGCTTTGAATTTCTTCAAAAGGTTCTTTCATGAATAATCTCCAAACTGATAGTCCTGTATCTAATTTAGTTGGCTATTATGAGGAAATAATGTGACAGATTATACATTTTTTTTAAAAAACTTAAAAAAATTTGGGGTGGTAGTGGTGTGTGTGTGTGTGTGTGTGTGTGTGTGTATACATTCCTGTGTATGAAAGAGGGCAGGCAGAGGTATTAGGACTTATCTTCCATCCTTTTGAGACAGAGTCTCTGCCTTTCCTCTGTGTATGCCAAGCTTGCTGGCCTGGGAGCTTCCAGGGATTCTTCTACCCCCACCTCCTGCCTCTGCATAGGAGCACTAGAGTTATGGGTGCTTGTGCCATATGGCCAGCTTTTATGCCAATTCTAGGGATTTGAACTCAGTTCCTCATGCTTGAATGGCAAGTACTTTTACCCACTGAGTCACCTAGCCAGCCCCAGGTTAAGTAATTTCAGCTGGAGAAAGGAGCATGTGGCTGTATTGAAATGCAAGTAACAGAATACTTTTCATCACCGTATTTAAAGTCAAACCAAGGAAAGGGTTAATCATTTTCTTATATTTCTTTTTTTCAGTCTTATTTATATTTTTTATTGTATGTGTATGAGTGTACTGCCTGCATGTGTGTAAGTGCACCCATGTCATATAATGTCCCTGGAAGTCAGAAGAGGGTGGTGGATCCCTTGGAACTGGATCCCTTGATCGGTTGTTAGCTGCCATATGAGTGTTCAAACTCAAACCCAGGTCCTTTCTGCAAGAGCAGTCAGTGCTCTTAACTGCTGAGCCATCTCTCCAGCCCTTATTTTCTTATATTTCTCTAACATGATTAAGATTACAGAAATATTCCGAAGTAGTGTTGCAGAATTTAAAAGGAGGAATAAAATAAGGCACCCATTATGATTTTTCTCTCTGTTTCTAAAAGTGTATAAGGAACATATTTCATGGGAACACAGGGGCCTTAAAAGTCATCTTCTTTTTTTTTTGTGGGTAGTCATCTGTTTTACTTATTTGCATTTATCAGTAAGGCAAAAAGCATTTTCTGCTCATATAAATGAACTTTTATAGTCTTCTTGAACATGTCACGATACAGAAATTTAGTGAAATCTGTTAGAAATTCCAAGCATCCTTAAGGCTCTCTGACATCCTGAATTCTTTCTCAGGAATTTCTAATTGCCTCCATCTATGTGACAGGGCGATTTTTTGTTGTCATTGTTTTAAAAAGCACTTTGAAGATTGCTCCTCTGGATGGATGTCAGACATGCAGTATTTCAAATTTTATGAACTAGTACAAGTTGAAAACTGCAAACAAAAGCAGCCATTCACGTGCCCGGCACAGTAGCAATGATGGCAGAGAAATAAAGAGTCTAGACCTCCAGGCCTGTCTCAAACCTAAGACAACCCTGGGCTATCTTGTTCCCAAAGTCTAACACAGGGGCTGATTCATGCATATGCGCTTGATCAGTATTTAATTAATGAATTAACTCAACCAAGTAGGTACACACTACTTTATAGACCTAGAAGATCAGCGTCTAAACTCTCTAGTTATTCATGTTTACAATTATTGAAGAAATCAAGTTGAATTTTATAGTTAAATGACCTATAGTTCCTAAGCTTGGGATTTCTGTTAGTCAGGGGGAAGCTGGGGAAGGCTTGAATGAGTAACTGCTGGCCCGTCCTCAGGCTTCAGTGTAGAGGAAAACTGGATCCTGCCTCTTTATCCTGTTTCCCTTCTAGTCACTCTCTGCATGCCCTTGTTTTCTGATAATAAAGCTTCTCACTTGGGCATATTTTGTTAATTCTGAGTTTTGATGGACTGTGCAACAGTATTACTGATCTCAAAGCATAAGCGTAGGTAATTCGTCTCTGACGTCTGCTTTGAAAAAGAACTCTTGCCTATGTGTGTGTTTAAGATAAAGATGATTCATGCCTTTATCTCTAGATGATTTTTTATTCAGATAGTTCTCTGAACCATAAAAGCCATATAAGAAAGTGTCCCACCCCCAGCCTCATCAGATTGCACAAGAAAACTGGAAGAAAATGGGAAAATTGGGAGACAGTGGCTCTTTCACATATTCAACATTCTATCACATTCTCTAAACACATGTCAGTGTGTTAAATTTAATGAAAGAACAGTAATGGTTAGACTTTTGAGAACAGTGTCATAATAGTCATAAAGCTGTCTATTTCTCGAGGAAAAATGGATTAGCAGTGACAGTGAAGAACTCTTTTTAGATGTGTCTTTAAACGTAGACTCAAGGTACCAGTGCATATGTTTATTATTGCATTAGTGGAACAAGGGCAGAGTGAACTTGTCCCCCACAGTTTGCCACTGTTCTCTGAACACTAAAATCACTTCTAATGTGTCATATGCACAGGGTGAATGCCCCTTGTTTCAGGCATCATCTGACCTTCACAAATGCTAACACTCGGCCCATTTCTAGTGACAAGCCATGGTCCAAACATCCTGTTGCCCATCACCTAGACCTATCCACCATCTAGCCCCCTGCTGTCATCAGAAGCCAGTCTTTTCTCCCACCTTGTCCCATGCAAGTACCAAAAGCCACTGCACAGAACATGTCTCCCATCTCTGGCTCAGGCAGGACCACTGCGGCTTTTATTCTAATTCTGTTGCATCTGTTCATTCATTAGTCACTGATCACTTACTAGAGACAAGTTCATAAACAAGGTGGGTGGAAAGACACATAGAGAAGACAGTGGAGAAGATCCTACTGGTATTGCTAAGCCCACCAGGGTTAGCACGAGGAACCACAGTCATGATGCTCGTCCATCTTACTCTTTTCTTTTCCTTGTGCCTGCATACACCAAAGCCCACACTGAAGCCTGACCAGGATGAGGCCCAGGTGCAAGCATTCTCTTCTAGAACCTTCTGCTCTTCTCACATATCCAAATTCTTTGTTTCCCTCCTTCCCTCCCTCCCTCCTTCCCTCTTCCTTCCTTCCCTCCTTCCCTTCTAGCTAAAACATCTCTTTTTTCCAGCTATACTTTCTGAATCTCACATTCATTCACCATCATGATCTTCAACTCGCTGTCAGGCAATGCACTGCTTGGCAACTGTGGCTACAAAGAAAAAAAATACCAGGACTTGGCTCTCCAGAAACTTGAAGTGTGACGTAGAGAGAAGGTATAATCTACGGAATAGAAGACATATAGATGATATGTCCAAACTACCTGCAGATGGAGATGAGATGCTTCTCAAGGAGGTATCCTCTGTGCTGTGGAAAGATTAATAATAGAGAAGGGACTCAAGGCATTGTGAACACAAAACACAAAGCCAATGTAAGGAGCAAACACACATTGGCACGTGTATAAAGAGAGGTGGAAGTCCATCATACTAGAGGTTGGGTGCCATAGTTAGCTTTACCTACCTACTTGACAGCCTAGAGTCAACTAAGAGGAAAGCCCTGGTTAAGAATTGCCTAGATCAGTTTGACCTGTGGGATGTTTGTGGGAGACTGTCTTGATTATTTATTGATGCAGAAAGGCCCCAGTCTACTGTGGGCAGTACTATCCCTAGGCAGATGGTCCTGTAAGAAAGCTAACTAAGCATAAGCCTATGAATGAGCCAGAGATGATTAGATGATTAGAGACGGAGGCTAGGTTGCCCAGTGGCAGAGCACTTGCCTAGCATGGTAAGGCCCTGAGTTCCATCCATCCCAGCACAATATTAGAGCAGGAGGCCCAGCTAGGAAGATGGAGGTAGCAGCCACCACTGCTGCCATCACAGCAGCAGCAGCAGCAGCACATACCGCTGAATCAGAAGGAGCCCCGGTGCTGGGTCCTGGGAACTTTCTGCCATGACCTGCAGATGCTGAGGCAAGGCGATGTGAGAACTCCTGAGCTCAGCTGGTGGAAGTGGAGAAGGAGGAGAGATGAAGGAGAGGGTGGCAGAGAGGAAGGCAGGAGCTTCGTGATCACCTGGTGCTAAGACTCAAGGGAAAGAAGTGGTTCCAACAGCATCTCTCTTACACCTTAGGATAATGAACATATAGTGGTACTCATCTGTGGAGTGGGGAATTCTGGAGGAGGAACAAATTTGGCTGCAGAAGTCAGAAGTCAGGGTGGGGGAGGTTGCCTGGTTGCCTTTGAAGATCTCTGCCTAGAAATAAGGCACACTTCTTTGATTTTCTTCCTCTCTTGAGCTGAAAAGGTTTTAGGACATGCCCTTTTGATGTCTCTCTCTCTCTCTCTCTCTCTCTCTCTCTCTCTCTCTCTCTGTTAGCATTAACTTAGATTAAGTTCTGTGAGAGTTGGGGCAGACACTTATCTGTTCCCTTGAAAGCCTGGCTGGGCATCTGCTTGAATCTATGCTTCATGAAAGAGACCCGTTTAGAAATACTTGCTTGGAGGGGAAAACCTATCATTAACTGAATACTAGCTACCAATCACTCAGCAGTGAATTCAGTTCTTCCTGGCATAGACTTGCATGTTTAGTACACCTCACTACACGAGGCTCATTCACAGCATTCTCCTCATGATAACCAATATGTAGTAATGCCAAGAAAACTCCCATTTTCTGAGTGTTTTGGGGGTGCCACAACTGTACCCAGAAGCTTTTTATAATTTGGATTTCTTAAAGTCTCAGTGATACAAAAAGGTGGAGCCAGGATTCAAAGCCCCAAATCTTGTTCATCCCTGAGTGCAACCTGCTCGCTCCCAGCTACTTATCTGTACATGACCTTTAAAATGGAAGCAAAGGGTTGGTTGGAACAATAATTCTAGAGAGGGAAGAGCGGGGGTTTATGGCATGGGAACTTTCTACGTTTCAGAGGGTTTCTAAAGAACTAACAAGGAAGAGCATTAAGAAACTTAAGTATTAACAC